CAGCGGGGCCTGCTTTGTTTATTTGCGCACCACAGGGAGCTCTGGGCGGGCTGCCTCTCGCTTTCATCCGGGAGAGGAGACCGGAGAGACACAGCAACCATGTGGCTGAAGGCTGGCCTCTCCTCTGATCTGACTTCTTCTCTCCCTCCTCTCCAGAGGCCACCTCAGAATTGCCTAGAAGCTCTGGAGAGGGACTGCCTGGTGTCATCCCAGTGCTGTCCCAGCTCTGTGACTTCACTTGAGCCTTAACCTCTCAGTCCCTCAGTTTCCTCATCTATAAAACTGATCTTTAAGGGCTACTGTGAGGAATAGCTGAGTTGAGGCATGTCAAGTGCTTACCGTAGTACCTGGCAAACTGGGGTTGTTGGCATTATTATTATCACCATTAAACGGAATCCTCGTTTTCTCAGTGAGGTTACTGGATGGGACCCCGAAAGCAGAATTGTTTGGAAAGGTCAGAGGCTTTTGTTTAGCCCAATCACGTGGGGTCCCTGATGTCCAGAGAGGGGATGTGTTTGCCCAAGTTCACACAGCCGCGGCAGGGCCAAGGCCCAGGTGTTCTGGGGCTGGGGGGCGGGGGTCCTTGTCATCTCAGCCAGGCAAGCTGGGCTGTGGGCTCCACACCGCCCTGTCCTTTTCCGCGGGGCCATTCCACTGAGCAGGCCCCTCAGCCCTTCCTCAGGAGTCGGGCAGGAATGTGATTTTTCATTCTCAGCTGGCCTCCCTCTGAGACAGGAACTCAAGTCCTCCTCCTGGAACCTAGCTACCTGGGGCAGCCTTTGTTCTTCCAGGGCTTCAGAGCTGTGCTGTAGCCTCAGAGCACTTACCAGGGGCCTCTGCAGACGGAGGCCCAGAGAGGCCAAACCCTTGGAGACCACACAGCAGTCAGACACTTAGATGAGTCACTGAGAACCGGGAGGGGAGACACTTTCAGAGTCTCCCGTTCTCTGAGCGTGGGCTTAGTGGTGTGGTTGCGGCTAAGGGTGTAGTGATGGAGTGGACAGACGTGAAGAGACATGAAGGCAAGAAGACGGACTTGTTTTTTATTTTTATTTCATTTTATTTTATTAAGACTAGTCAAGTGTAGTAGGGAGAAGGTGGGGGAGGGGAAAAGTAGAACAAGGAGTTTGATCCATAACTGACAGTGAACAATTAAGATAGCTCACTACCTTGGACCTGCCACGGGCTTGTTAAGAGAAAATCCAGTCACTTCTTCACTCCAAACCAGAATCTCCCGACCTTGGCACTGCCGACATTTTGGGCAGGATAGTTCTTTATTGCAGGTTGTGTCCTGTGCACTGCAGAATGGGCAGCATCGTCCCTGGCCTCTGGCCACTAGATGCCAGTAGCACCCCTTACACTGTGACAACCCCGAAAGCCTCCAGACACTGCCACGCATTTGTACGTGTTAACTCAGCTCTCTCTTGAAACAAGACTAGGAGACACATAGTATTGTTCATCCCCGGTTGTCATGTGAAGAAACCAAGGACCGGGGACATCAAGCTCCCCCACATCACACAATGAGTAAGTCACAGCAGAGTGAGGCTGGTAGCCTGCCTCTGACTTGCACTGATGCCCTCTCAGTCTTCTCAGAGCTACCCCTCGAAGAGCACCCTGAGACGGAGCGTGGCCTTCCAGGTTTAGGAACTCTGCTGTTCCTGCCTTGGACGGTCCGATCCCATCTGATGCCAGGTCTTCCACCTGCGGTCAGGGACCTGCCAGCTGATGGCAGTGTCCAACTGGGTCCATCACCAGCTCCAGCATCTCTGGGACTGACAGCCTCATGCCTTACTTGATGCCCTTCCAAGGAGATGGCCAAGCTTCTGGGAAGCAGAAAATACCTTTCCTTACTCAGCTAGAGGAGCAAAGCGCCTACTTGTGCTTTATTTAACTCTTGCAGAGCTCTGGGGAGCAGGGGCAGATCATTGCTGAGTGAGGGGAGGCACTTTCTGCTTCCCAGAAGCTTGGCCATCTCCTTTGAGACAAGATCACTCACACTCTTGCCCAGGCTGGAGTACAGAGGCACGATCATGGCTTACTGCAACCTCGACCTCTTGGACTCAGGCGATCCTCCCACCTCAGCCTCCTGAGTAGCTGGGACTACAGTAGCGTGCCACCACACCTGACTAATTTTTAAATTTTTCTGTAGAGATGAGATGTTGCTTTGTTGCCCAGGCTGGTCTTGAACTCCTGGGCTCAAGCAATCCTGCCGCCTTGGCCTCCCAAATTGCTAGGATTACAGGTGGGAGCCACCGTGCCTGGCCATTGTGTTTATTTAGAGAGGAAGACTGTGATCCAAAGAAGTCAGATTAAAGGCCCTTTATCCCTTAGCTGGTATGGGGGTAAAGAATCTGATAGGGGAGAGAATATCTAAAATCTGAAAGAAATGGGGGAAGGAAAGGTAACAATCAGAAAGTGAACTTGGCAAAGGATGGCCAGGGGCTTGATTTTAGCCCTTTTGTGGAGGTAGACAGAATGAAGAATGTTCGTCATTCCAAGATCAATCCCTTGGAGTTGCATCCTTGAAAACCCAGCCCCTGGGATCACCCCTGTGGGCCACCTCTCACAGTGTCTCTTCTCTCTCCCCAGGGTGACATGGGAGCGTTGGGTCCAATTGGCTACCCAGGACCCAAGGGCATGAAGGTAAGCAAGGGCTGCCTTGTCCCAGCCAGGTGCCCCGACCCATTTCAGCCCAGAAGGAAGAGTGACCTCAGATGGTGTGGGAGGAGGCTCAGGGTCGCTGGGGAGGAGGCTGGGCAGATCAGGGGCCCAGTCTTCTCTGACCTGAGAGCCAGTCGTCTGTATATATACATCTGTATGATACACATCTGTATATCATGTAAACCAGACATTTTTATTGGACACCAGTCCTTGAGCTAAGCATGAGTCCAATGAGTTTTGGGGCCTCGGGGCACTGAACATCCTTTGGGGGACATCTCCAGGGCCATAGAAACAACTGTGGCAAATAGTGAACTCAGTTCATTTCTGCATGGGATAGGCGTGCAGAACGCTGGGCCAAGACTGTTAGGGTCACGCTCCGGGACAACACACATGGGACACTGCTCCTTAGACCCTTCCCTCCCCGTCTGTGCCTTCTTCCTCTGGACTTGTCCGCAGTACTATACAGTTCACCCGTCAACTGCCTCTTCTTGGAGCTCCTTCAGTCCACACCCTGGCCCTATGAGATGAGAACACTGAGCCCTGGGGCTAGGGGATTTAGCTTGAGGTCTTACAGAGTCAGTGGGTTGGAGTCCCCGTGACAGCTGGCCTGGGCCTTTGTCTTGCAGGGACTGATGGGCAGCGTGGGGGAGCCCGGACTGAAAGGTGATCAGGTGATCTGAATACTCCCTTATTGCACTGTGGTTTCTCTGCATGCCACCCCCCTCTTCGCCCGGAGGCTGCTGCTGATTTCTCGCCAGGTCCTCTCCCTTGCGCTCTTCCTGCCTCCCCCCTACATCTGTGCTCCCCAGCTTCTCCCTGGGTCACTCTGGGTGGGGTTCAGGTGGATGGTCTGGGGGCCCGAAGACCTTGACCGACTGCGCGTGAATGGCTGTTGAGGCAAGGGTGGGGAGAAGTCAAGGCAGGGCTCTGAATCCAGAGAGAGAGCTGAGGTCAGCATCTGGACTGGGAGGGCAGATCCCTGGGGCAAGAAGGGTGGCGGTGGTACAGGAGGAAACAAATCCGCATGAACTACCCCAGGTTGGAGTTGGGAACCCACCCCCAGAGAGTGTGCCTGCTGGAAATGCCACTCTGAGCCCCTGACCAACTTCTCCTCCAGCTGCTGGGGAGGGCGTGCGGGGGAGAGGGCGGCCACCTCCACCACGTGTCCTCTGACAGCCCTGCTGCTGTCTCCCACTGTCTCACCCTGTGCCAACTCAGAGCTGGAGGTGGGTAGATCGGCCTTGGGCTCGGACATTCTCTGTGCTCTGCCCTGTGGCCGTCTATCCCTGCCCTCCTCCTTCAGACTCTCAGCACACCAGAAACCCCAAAGGGCATGTGGGAGAGCTTTGGGGTGCATTCCAAGTCTTCACAGAGTGATCTGAGGGAGACTGCGGCTTCGTCCCTCTTGGGCCCAGACTCCTTCCGCACCTGTCTTTCGACTCTGCTTCCCCCTACACCTGAGTCATAGGGCAGGTGCCATGCTGGGCACCATCTGAGTGCCCCACGTGGATTCACCCATGAATCCTCCAACCCCCTGTGAAATAAGAAGCCTGTCCAAGGCCACACAGCTGGTAAGTAGAGGGTCAGGATTTGAACCAGGTACCTGGCTCCAGAGACCCCAACCATGGAGTAGAACTGAGTCCACACGGTCAGATGTCACAGTGCCTGCATTTCACAGACAGCTGGGGAAACAGAGTCCCAAAGAGGGGAAGAGATTTGTCCAAGGAAATGCAGCAGCATATCGGGGAAGCCAACCCAGGTCTCTGGACTCTTAGAAGATTAGAATTGCTGGATGAAAATGGACACACCCAGTTT